AACGAAGTTGACGATTCGCTATCAATTCGTGTAGCTAGAAACAAAGTTGGCTTTCTTCCAAAATCCTCTGCAATATAAAAACACTATGTTTTCACGCTACAAAAACGTCCATCTTATAACCTAACGGCAAAATTACAAATTCTTAATTAAAATCATTTATATCTAGAACAACACAAACAATTTTCTTTTTTTTCAACTGGAAATAACGTCAACGCTTTGACGTCACTATCAGACAAACTTTGACCAATCAGAACGCTAGTTGATGATGTAATTCCAAGTAGAAAATTTGCAACGAAGTAGTCTTCCGCAAAAGAAAATAGTTCCAATCAGAGATTAAGTTAAAACAGATAAAAATATTTAAATATTATTAATACGCTTTAATTTTTAAATAGTGAAGATAAAAATATAATAAAAAAATAAATATTAGAAAGATATTTTATAGATTTTGGGTTTGGAAAATACCATCACAAAAAAGTTCGGCGGCGTCGTGTGCCAAATTCGCTGAATCATCTGAGCAGTTGACGTAGTTGCTCGGTGTTGTGCAATCCGCAAGCTGGCTCTCTCCCGTAAGTTCCTACCCTTGCAATGCATGGACACCGATTCCCTTCAAATGTACGACCATACCAACACTAACGGAAAGGCTATCAAACTGAAGTGTTCGCCTAATGTGCATTTTGAGGACGATTTGAACACTCCTGAGGTATCCTTCGACTTTCAAGGTTTTCTGGCATCTCCCCCATCGCCACCAGAAGAGGGGGACCTCTTCACACCCCCTAGCCTTGACGCATCTTCCTCCGCGTCTTCTCTTGATCATTCAGTGATCGTCAAACAAGAGCCTTCGTCCGACTACACGCTGTATAAGCAGCCGCGCTACGCATCCGCTTCCCGCAAGTCCAGCAAGAAGTATATGGACAAGAACAGCGACGAATACAAGCGTCGACGAGAACGCAACAATCTCGCAGTGCGTAAATCGCGCGAAAAAGCCAAACAACGCACTAAGGAGACCGAAAATCGCGTTGCATCTCTTAAAATGGAAAATGACTCTTTAAAAAAGCAGGCGGAAATTTTAGACAAGGAGTTGACCATTCTAAAGTCGCTGTTGAAGAATGTCGGCGTACCAAACGAAATCATAGAGGCCGAGATAAGCCAAGTGATGCAACACCGCCACCTCAACACCTACACTACCTCCTGACCGATCACCCAGGACTGTGCACCATACTAAAGTAAGCACCCGTGCCAATATCTCATTTCTACAGCAGATTTTTTAAAATCCAAATTGTATTTTTTCCTACTGGAAAATGGACATAGCAATATTAATGGCATTATATAAAAAAAGCTCCCATTGATATCGTTTTATTCTTATAATATTTAAGCATTGTTTACTATTATCATGCGCATATAAAATATGTAGTTTAGCAATCTTTATCACATAAAGCTGGACTTATTAGCTTTCATAACCATTAAGTAATGTTATATAAGATTTATATATATATTTTATTTTGATGTTTTTTTTTTATAGTGTGTTACTGTACATTTTTTTTTTTTTTTTAATATTCAATTTTTTTTTTTTTTGCACATTGTTAGCACACTGCATCAAGCTTCTATCAATGTTTACCATTCCATAAAGTGTGATAGAAATAGTCTTTTAACAAAAAGTTTATAAATGCTAAATTGGCATGAAAACCCGGCCACTTTTTGTTGTTAAATGTACTTGTTATTTGTGCTTAATGCTAACTAAAAAAAAAGCTCAAAAGTTCTCCAAGTACTTTTTTTAAAGGTTACAATTGACCTTTGTGTAAATATTGAAAAAAATATATATTGGTAAGCAAGTGTGTTTTTATTATTATTAATATTCCTTGAACAAAATCAAATGTATGCCACTTGTTATTTATAATTTTTGGTTATTAAAAATTGTTATTTTAATTATTGCAAATATATTTGTTACATTGAGTTTTATATATCTAAATATAATGATTATTGTTTATAATTTTAAAAATATTTTTCAATAAATGTTTGGAAGACTTAATTAATGAACAGTTTTTTAAAATATGGACTAATTTTTATTTCTTATATAAGTTCTGTAAATAAACATTCCACCAAGAAAAAAAATCACCCTAACCAAAGTTTGCATGCAAATAGGTTTCTAGTCTTCTGTCAATAAATATTAAGGGCTTTTTCTATGTTTAACCTAATATTTTTCAAAAATTACTTTTAAAAAAATCCTATTAAAAATGAAATTTATAAGTCAGTATTTTTCATTCATTAACAAAAAAAAAAAAATTGCTTCAATAAATCAAAAATGCATGTCTAAAGCACATATTTAAAAATATTAATGAATTTGCCTTAATTGGATTATGGTGCTTTTTGTTTATTTTTATACTTTTTAACTTAAGAAATCACTTGTGCCTTCAGATTTTTTAAAATTTGATCCAAAATGTAAATATTCTTTTTTTACCCCTTTTATTTTGAATATTATTCACAACTCTTTATGTTCTACCAGCAATATCACTAAAAGAAACTTATAAAAATATATATTATTTAACAAAATGGAATGAATACCATGTTCTAAATTTTACTTCTTTTTTTTTTCTGGTCAAATATATATATATTTTTATGGTATATATGAATGTATATAGAAAATTATATTTAGAGAAATCTCATTAAAAAGTATATATAAAAATATATTTTGTTAATAGATATTAATTTTTAAAAATTTTAAGAGAGAAAAAAAAATCTTAAAAATTTGCCTTTTGACATCTATGCAGCATGGTGCTCAGATCTGCACATAATTTATTAATATCAAATATATATTATTACAAACTCAAAACTTTTTATTCTTTTATATAGAATTAGTATTTTTTGTCTCTTTGAAAGCTGTATATTAATCCATCCAAAGAAGTATTTTTTCATTTATATAAAAAAATAATAATTTTAGTCATTTAATTATATATTGTTTATATATTATCCTGTGTTTTTATCTCATGATATGTTCATTATGACTATTTCTCTCGCCTTCTTATATATATATGATTATATATATTTACATCAGCACACATTATTATTATTATTCTTGTGAAATAATGTTATCAAAGAAATTCATATTAAATTTGATTATTTTTGTTACAATTGTGTGTGGTATCATATATTATTTTCTTTGCTTTACTGTTTCTCTTTTTATAGATAGCTGGGAAGAAATACCCTAAAAAGGACCATTAAAAAAAAAATCAAGATTAGAAAGACAAAATGCCTTTTAAAAATTATGTCAACAATACTTAGCAGATTTCTAATTGAATTTAATAAAGAAAATTGTTTACCTTTGTGTTGTTTTAATGTTGCCAGATCTGATTTTGAATCCATTTTAAATACTATTATCAATGAATAAAAAAAAAAAAAAATGCAAGCTTATATATTTAGAAACACAGAGTAATAAGGCCAAATAAATAGTGTGTTTCACTAACAGTGTTGTTATCATCATCAGACAAGAGTACTGAATGAGAAAAAATATCAGTTTCAAAATATTTACTGATAAGGCACAATTTGGATTATAGATTATAAAGACAAGGTAATAAGACCAAATCCAAATAAATAAATAGTGTGTGAGATTTCGGTAACAGCATTGTTACCATCTTCAGACAAAAGTAAAGATGGTAACAATGCTGTTACCGAAACGTCACACATTATTTATTTATTTGGATTTGGTCTTATTACCTTGTGTTTATCAGTGTTGTATAAACAAGATAACATAAGAAAATAGTTTTATAAGAACCCTAAAATACTATTCTGACAATTAGAAGTGAAAAAAAAAACCTCCTTTTTAGATACAGTTTAAAAGCATATCTGAAATATCATTGCTATTTCCTCTTTCTCCCATTATCTTAATTGTAGCACAAGAAAATAAAAACCTAATCCAAACAGTGTTGTTACCGAAATGTCACACACCATTAATTTATTTGGATTAGGTCTTATTTTCTTGTAGCTATAATCCAAATTGTGCTTTATCATTAATTGTAGCACATGATATTAACAAATATGCTTTTAATATCTTCTATCATGTTTAAACAACTGTTAACAGTACCATCTATTTAAAAACCTGCCGCGATATTTTTTCTCATTCAGCCCTTTTGTCAGATGATGGTAGTTCTGTCGCATACTATTTATTAGGATTTGGTCATATTACCTTGTTTCTAAATCTATATTCAAATTGTACACCTCTAATCAGCATATACAGTTAAACCTGTCTATAGCGCCCCCTTTAAAATAGCGCCTTCCTCTCTATAGCGGCCGATTTTAAATACGTAGTACGATGCGATTTACATTAAAAGTGACCTGTCTATAAGACCCCCTCTCTATAGCACCCTATTTTGGTGAGTCCCAACAGGGGGGGCGCTATAGACAGGTTTAACTGTATATTTACCACAGAAAATAAGACCTAATCCAAATAACTTGTGTGTGTGATGTTTCGGCAACAGCATTGTCACCATCATCAGACAAAAGAATAAATGAAAAAAAAAAATTATTCTCTTTTGTCTGATGATGGTGACAATGCTGTTGCCGAAATGTCACACACTAATAAATTATTTGGATTAGGTCTTATTTTCTTATATTATAATCTATAATCCAAATTGTGCCTCATCAGCATATATATTTAGTTTGACATTTCAATAAAGCAATCCCTTATATCAATATAGAGTATAAATACCAGGCCTCCAGGGAAAAGTATCTTTTCAAAAAGCTTTTTACTCTCTAGCTTTGGGCACGAACGCCTTTCTACAGGAGAAAACATGGTATAATTTCTCCTGCAGAAGGGTGTTTGTGCCTGAAAACTGGAGATTAAAAAGGTTTTTAAAAATATTTCCCTGGAGGCCTGGTATTTATACTACTAGCCGAATGACCCGGGCAACGCCCGGGGTTTACCTGATTAAATGCTTTTATTCAAATACTATTCGTCACAATTATAAATTGGCGCCGTAGATGTCACTCTTGTGAAACGTCCCGCCCCAAACCATCGGCCGGGAATCGAACTCGGGGTGCCCGCATGGCAGGCGAGCATTCTAACACTGAACCAAAAGCAAAGCAAACGGTGACAGAAGTGTCTCGCGCATTGGCGGCACCAAATGATGGGGGGCAAAGGTGGCGTGATCGTAGCCGACCAATAGGAGGGCGCCGGCAAACCGTGACAGAGGCCATGACGCTCGTAACTGTATATAGATATTTAGTTTACTAACTCAAGTGATCAAAGACAAAGGACTGGTAGCATGGTGGTATTAATTTGTCAATTTTTGACAGCAAAGACATAGGATTGAATCCATATTTGTCAATACTTCTTGTTAAAGATTAAATAGAATGGAATCTCATTATAACATTGTAAAGATAAAGGCTGCCTGGCCGGCATTTATAGTTCTTTAAATTAAAGATACTTCGGCCAGTAAATCTTTTTTATTGTCTCGACGTTTCGACAAAAATCTTTAAATTTTTGTTCGTTCCTGACGAGGACAAAAGATTTTAATCGAGACAATAAAAAAGATTTACTGGCCGAAGTATCTTTAATTTAAACATTATAATGCAGTTGTTAGAAACATGGGTAACAAGACCAAATTATTAAATTGTGTGCAACATTTTAGTAACAAAGGTGTTACCATCATCACACAAAAGTACTGTATGTACGTACTAATGATAACAGCACTGTTACCAAAGCCTTGCACAAAATTTATTAATTTGGATTTATTCTTGTTACCTTAGGTTTCTAATCTATATTATTCAAATTGTACCATAACACTGGTTATAACATCATGTATCTTAAGTTTTAAGCAGGTTCTAATTTAGTTGTGTTCATGAACAACAACATGACCATAGCAACATGAAATTGGTCCCAAATGATAGCAAGGTTCAACTATCATCTTCCTTATCTCCACTTGATCATATTAGGGTCTGAGTGAAGTAGAATGCCTATGTCATTAAGACTGGGAGCACTACTCAGCGGCAGGCCGACTTAGCTCCAAAAGAAATGCCCGTCTCTGACATGAGGAACAGATGCCATTTATAGCTGCTCTTAACATGGAGTACAAACGGTGCTCATCCTGTATCCCTGGATTAGGAGCCCTTACAGGGTACTATCAGCCGGGCCAGCTGAACCCAGGTTTTTTAGTGAGCTTGTTACTGCTCCCCCTCCTCCTTTTTCATCCGGGCTTGGGACCAGCAAAGGTGGGGGGGTTCAACTATTAATTGCTTCAATAACCCAAGCTTATAATACATCCCCAACATTTAATCCAAAGTGCACTCCAACTACAAAATCAAACAATATGTGGTCTACTTGATTCAGGACATCTTAGAATGCTCAAATTTAATGGAGAAATCAAAACATTCCCAAAATGCCCCAAATGTGATTCCAAACCAGCAAGTCCTGAACATCTATTGAATTGTATCAAATCCTCCAAAAAAGACTTCTGGGAAAACCCCAGGACTATAATAGAAAAGCTGAGACAATGGAACCTAATGGAGATTGTTTAAACAACTTGAGGAATAAGCAACAACAACTTGATTATAAGCAGTTGCTAACTACCCACCATGATTATTGGGGCCTGTACAAAGGATAAGTGATAGACTAGTCATTTAAGACTTGAAAAGGTCGCTATATTAAAACTAATTAGGCCGCACCAAAGTTTCCTTATTTTGAACCTGGTAGTGCGATGTTTTGAGGAAAACTGAAGAGTAGGTAACCTTCTTCCTTTACTACGGAATATTCTATCATCTCTGGTGCCTTGTTTATATAGGAACCAAATCTGGTTAATTGGGGAACACTTTCCTGGAAGAATAAAATTGAATGAAGTAATTTATGTGTAAACTAGGCGAATGACCCGGCTTCGCCCGAGAAATCCCTTGAGTGCAATTACCTTCATAATGAAAGTACATCAATAATAAATAGTAGAAGTGCCATAGAATAGCAATACAGAAGTAACACATAAACCACGGGCAAAAAGTGTGTGTGATTGCAAAAATTGTATTATATTTGTGTTTAGATATTTGATTTAATTTTTTTTTTTTGCAATCCATTTAGTTGTTTCAAAATCAATATAGTTTAAATAGATAGCAGCTTTTCCACCCAACCTCCGAGTTACCGGCCCCAGCGCATTAACCCTTGAAATTGCCCGAGTTGAGTGAGTGACTGCGATGGATCTTGACTGAGATGCCCATCTTCTCAGTAAGAATAATAAAAAAATAGGTTTATAAAAATATTAATCCAAAATACTGGCATGTAAATATTTTTCTGTAAAAAATAAAAGAGCACATGGAAATTTGGCAAACATATGTGTTTGCTAATGACTGCGACTGCATTTTGAACTATTTTTTTAAAAGGCATAAAAAAAACAAAAGGCAAAACAAAATTAATAAAAAATACGAAAGCAATTATTTACATACAGTAACGTTAATTTTGTAAAGTTTTTTTTTTTAATTGCATTAGGTGCACTTACCGTAAACTTAGTAATATAAATTTCTCTCTCAATACTCAATACTTTTGTGAAAAAAAGTACGCAAGCAACTTGAAAAAAAAAAATGCAGAACGCTCATTGGTCTCTTAATTAGCCTGGTGTTGTTACTGCGCCTTGTATTTCCTCCGCGTAAAAAAATTTTTTTCACATGAAAAAAATAAATAGTCGAAAATACTAATCAAAATGCATCCGAAAAATTTCCTCATGTTTATAAAAAACGACATGCAAAATTTGGTACCAATTGGTTCAGTAGTTTTTGAGTTTATCGCGAAACAGACAGACATTGACTTTTATATATATAGAGATAGAGGCTCTTGGTGATTTTGCATAGTGTTGATTTTTCTACAACCAGTACCCAGGATTGAATCCTGCATTGAACACCCTTTTATAAAAGTATTATTTTCGTATTTTTCATTCATATCTTCTTTCTTATCTCCACTCAATCATATTAGGGTATCAAGCTTGTAAAGCTTGAGACTTTTGATGGTGTCTGTTAACAACCATCATGACTGGGTGAAGTGGAATGCGTCTGCCTTTGTCATTAAGATTGGGAGCACTACTCAGTGGCAGGCCGACTTAGCTCCAAAAGAAATGGCCGCCTCTGACTTGAGGAACAGACACCATGTGCAGCCGCTCCTAACATGGAGTACAAACGCTGCTCATCCTGTATCCATGGATTAGGAGTCCTTACAGGGTACTATCAGCCGGGCCAGCTGAGCCCAGGTTTTTTAGTTACTGCTCCCCCTCCTCCTTTTTCATCCGGGCTTGGGACCAGCAAAGGCGGAGTTCATATCTTCTATTATTTTGAGAATTGATAAGGCACAATTTGGATTATAGAATATAAACACAAGGTAATAAGACCAAATCCAAATAAATAAATAAATAGTGTGTAACGTTTCGGTAACAGCGTTGTTACCATAACGTCACACACTATTTATTTATTTGGTCTTATTACCTTCTGATTATTTTGAGAAATTAACAACATAAAAAAAGACCTAATCAAGGAAGATTTTCCTATCAAATTGATAGACAAATATTAGAAGATATGAATAAAAAATACGAAAATAATACTTTGATTCTTTTATAAAGAAAAAATGTTTACAAGCTCTCTCCAGATTCTTGCACTAGTCCTACTCCAATAAATGCAAAAAAAAAAAAAGCCAAACAGGGAATGTGCAAAAGTCAAAACTTCTTAAACACAAGGCAATAAGACCAAATCCAAATAAATAGTAAGTGACGTTTCGGTAACAATGAATGAAGATGATAACAACGCTGTTACCGAAACGTCTCACTAACTATTTATTTATTTAGATAATCTATAATCCAAAATGTGCCTTATCATCAAAACTGCTTAGTGTGTTTAATTGAAAAGTCATATACAGTAGAATCTCCATGAGAGGACATCTCTCCATAAAGGACAATTTTTCATTTCCAAAATTACCATTTATACTATTTAGCAGCTCTCCAGTAAGAGGACACCTATCCATAAAGGACACTTTAGCTCTGCAAATAGGTATCCTTTACATGGAAGATTCTACTGTATTGGATAAAAAAAAATATTCATTAATATTTCAGTTGGATGAATGCCAACCTTTTTCAAGGTACAACAATGTCTAAAGAGAAAATGGCCAAAGATTAGGAAGATTTGGCCTATCACGGGTGAATTCCCAAGTATTTGTCTTCTTCAATTTAATATTTATTGAAATTCATGATTTGGAAAGAAAATTAGTAAAAACTCGATATAACTTCAACCTAAATATAGTCCTATATAAAATTGCTCCGTTTTTATATACAGTAGAACTTCCATGAGAGGAAACTAGCGCTAGAAGACACCTTCATTTGCAAAATTACTATTTTTATATTTAGCAGCTGATAAGGCACAATTTGGATTATAAATTATAAACACAAGGTAATAAGACCAAATCCAAATAAATAAATAGTGTGTGATGTTTCGGTAACAGCGTTGTTACCAGTACTTTTGTCTGAAGATGGTAACAAAGCTGTTACCAAAACGTCACACACTATTAATTATTTGGATTTGGTCTTATTACCTTGTGTTTATTTAGCAACTGTACAGTAAGAGGACACCTCTCCCTAAAGGACACTTTGGCTCTGCAACTAGGTGTCCTTTACAGGGAGGTTCTACTCTATCTGCGCAGTCTTAGATGTGTCTATAGCTTTATCAACTAGTCATTTAATGGAACACTCCAAGTTCCTGTTAAACTACAGTAGGTAATTTGGTTAGCAGTAAAGAGGTTATACAGCACATCAATTCCTCAATAATACATACAAAAATTGAGATTAAACTGTCAAAATTGCTGAGGTTTATCACTGATGAGCCATGCCCCCTCTCTTCCCAATATATAAATTAAAAACATTATTATTTTAGTAAGGTCACTGTAGAAATGGTGTTTTCAATTTTATTTAATAGTAAACACAAGGTAATAAGACCAAATAAATAAATAGTGTATGACGTTTTGGTAACAGCGTTGTTACCTAAACGTCACACACTATTCATTTGGATTTGGTCTTATTACCTTGTGTTTATAATCCAAATTGTGCCTTAATATTTAATAGTAATTTGAATAGTAGATG